ACAGTCTCATCTCTGAAAATAACTATTGAGAGAAAAGGGAACCCCTGTGACGGCGGAAGTCGGGGCAGGAGCCGGGTGCCTGCCACCACGCCCTGCTTCTCCAGGGCCAGGGGACACACGGCCCTCCGGCCACAGAGGACGAGAGTAAGCCCGCTCCCAGGCCTCCCCGGCACTGCTGCGGGAGTCAGATGGAAACACCCTTAGAGAGCCTTCTAGGAAGCAACTCTAACAGGGACCCGGGGCAACCTCCGCTACAGAGGGTGGAAGAAGCGCAACCTCGGCCGCCCTCGCCGCCTGCCACCCGGGGCTGTGAGCAGGGCCTTGCCCCGGTGCCTGGACCAGGAGCGTCTCCTGGAGTCTACCGTATTAAACAAAGCAACATCCTCGAAACCACTATAGAACCTGAGTCAAACCTCTCTCTCATCTGGACACTTGCGAGGTTTGCTGGGGCTTCCTTCACTGCTAAACACAATAAGGATTACAGCAGAGTGCTGGCGAACCTGGAACTAATAGAATATTCTCTGGGGCCTCTTTGTTTTCTTTATAACATATATTATGACAATTTAACATATTAAACCTTCATGTTAGATTAAATATCCAGTGAATTAAACATATTTACTGACCTACTTGTACAGTTGGTTAAGAGTTAATTTAATAAACTTCAATTTAAACTGATTTTTAAAAATTCTCCAAGAAAGCCAATTCTTTCCCAAACTTATTCCCAAATGAATTAACTCACTTGAATCTAGATGATCTAAAAATTTTAGTTAGAGTCTGGGTTTTTTTCCTTTAGTTTTTTTAGGCTTGTAGTGATTTTTAGTTAAATCGGAGCAATTTGTGCCTTTCCTGTTCATGTCATGGTAAAGCCATTAACCTAGTCCTGGGTGTGATACTCGAAAGTCTCAGATGCACCATGTTTTAGAGGACTCTATTTTAAAATAAGGCCTTTTCAGTGTTTTAAAAATTAAATGTGCTTTACACTGAATGTCACCATCCTGTAACATACTGCGGCCTACCGTGAAAGGTACAATAACGCCTCAGTGTGCAAGCTGTATTTTCTACATAACCTCAGATAGAAAATAGAAAATCACTTTCCAGAAGTTATTACACAGAACATGAAAACGAGTCTTTAAAACAGTGCTGACAATCCTAATTTAAGTGAAATAGGTCATAATGATATTTCTTTAACAAGATTAGAATGGAGAGTGGACTTCCACATCAACAAGAGGTACTCAGTACCCTGTGCATCGTGTTTCTATGAGAGGGACCATGCAGTAGTGTTTGGGCTGTAAGTCTGAGAATCAACTTGCATGAAATAAAGCTCCAGCCACACCAGGAACAGTAGAGTTCTGTGCCTTCACCCTCTCATCTAGCGTAGAGGTAAGTATTTTGACCTGCCTCAGAGTATATTATTTTTTACAAACTAGTAAGTTGAAATTATTTAAAGACAGTCACACCATGCAGGTCAAAATTTGCTTTCCTAAGTAATGAATATTCTAATACATGTGACTTTTTCAGATGTCAATTCTAAGCAGCTTTCTTCTATAAGAGTTAAGTTTATAATTGTTTTAACTGAATAGTCACATAAAGACAGATTTCCTATATTTCACTATAATTCGAATTAGCTTAATTTTCCCACAAGTGTGGTATCCTATTCATTTTTGAAACAGTAACAATTCTCCAAATTACTTTTTTAAAATGTTAAGGATGATAAAAATTTAAATGAGTACTAATACTCTAGAAATACATTTAAAATTATTACATAATCAAAACTGAATTTGTATACTGTATGTATTTGCAATGGAGGAGGTCTCAATAGTGCATTTTCTTAAATTAAAATGAACTCATTTGAGATTTCAAGTGTTATATTTAATACAAACTGGCTCTGTCTACCCTCACTTAAAAACATACCACAATAACAGTAACTGCAACTGATATTGTTACATAGCCCTAAAATTTATTCTTTTATTTCAAAACACTCAAACTACATATATTTGAAGGTACCTATATCTGGCACATCCACTAAAAAAAAAATAAAATCACAATGTATTTGCAGACAAAAGCTACAAAAGTATATTTTAATGGGTCGACTGCTTTTAAAAGTTATTCCATGTAATTATCAATATCGTTAAAATCACTCCCAATAAAATTTGTTTTTTTTCTTTTAATGATCCAAATCTATAGTGAAATGATGAAATCGAAAAACAAGTGTTCTTGTCAGAAGACAGGAAGAGGGTTTTTTTCCTTTCCCTTAAAGAAAACAAAGGGTTCCTGAAAGCTTTGGCCTGATTTATTCTTCCAATTTTAAATACCTTAAGAGCAGCGGAACTGCTACTGGCAAGGTAGTATTTCTAACAGTCAATAAATCTAAAATATTATGTGTGAATATTGGAATGAAGCCATTAAGAAGATTACAGCATGCAACACAGCAGAGGGTCCACAGGAAAAAAGAACTAGTAATTCAGGACAACTGTGACCACTGACCTTTGAACAGCCAAGACCACTGGTCAAGCTGACACGATAATAAAGTGCATATGCACAGAAAGTCATCTAGCCTGTAAGTATAAATGTTTGGGTGAATGATTTTAAAAGGCCCCCGTTTGAATATCAGTTAATTTATTAAATTATCAAACAATACCAACAGTAATATTTTTCAGGCTTCAAGCATATTTTATTAAGTCACAAAAAAATTCAGGACTATCATTTGTGATTTGAACACATCTCACTCAAAACATTTACAACTAAACGAAGTATGATGTGATACTTTATCATATTTCCCCACTACATGAGATACTCTTTCCTACTTTGGAAAACTAATGAAAAAGCTTAGAGATGGATTAAACAACCACCTGAAATATTTTTAGAAAAGGATTATAACTTGAAAACATCTCACACTTTCAGTAAATAGTCCTAGCTCCATCTGAGAACTATTTCAGTTTATTCACCATCTGAGAACTATTTCAGTTTATTCATTCTTCAAATTTGTTTTAGTCTGCAGTCTAATTTCAATGATACAAATACAATAGCTATATCTACACCACCTTGCAGAGTTTCTTTTTATGAATATTCTTTACTATTTCGGTTATGTTTAATTAACTGTTGCTTGTAACTAACCAGTGGGACGATCCCTTCTATCATTGTACATATTTAGGTTTTTACATTTCATGAATATTGTTAAACTTCACATATTTAAGTAAATGTTTAAATATCCAACTAATTCTACGAGGAAAGTAGCAGTTCCCAATTTGAACAGAATCATCCATCAAAAAATTACTATTAAAGACTGTTGTCCTCAAAGTAATGATCAGCTATCGCTAGAGCCAACTATAAACATTTTAATGTAACACAAGAAAGCTGATTTCATCTCTTTCTCTTTCTTATTCTTCCTCATTTAAAGGAAAAAAAATCCTCTCTTAGAGAATTAACTGTGGGGACTATATGCACTTAAGGAAAACACTCCTAAAAACTGGGACTTTATTTTCATAATTATGTCCCTATCCAGTGAAGACTACTTTGATGGATTTCTAAATGAACAACTCTAATCCTTTCTAGCAGCTTCTGCAGAATTTTTATAATGAGGTAATCTAGTTATAATGAGCTAAAAAGATAATATAATTCTTCACTGGCCTGGGTTTGGATTTGTTCATACATAGCACAAATTTTACTACAGTGAGATAAAGTAGTTCAGTTAATTTGCTTCAAGGTCAGCAAGTATTTTAGGTTATTTATGGGCATAAATAATCAGATTTTGACTTTAAAGTCACATTTTTCCTATCAGCAGCCATAAAAGCAATCAAGGCAAGTATTATTGTATTTTTTGAGTTTGAAAAAAAATAATTAAAAACTCAAACAACATAATAATGATTTCAAAGTACTTGCAATATTAGCGAAAATAATATTTTGAAGGTTATTTCCAGATTTTAATATATCTGAATAAATGGATTTTTTAAAGGGAGTTATTTTAAATTAGAATTATGTTACATAGATATTTTAAAATAGACATTAGAATATATACAGAAGCAGTACAATCTGCATTTGTACCCTGTTCTAAGTAATACGAAGGCCAAAAAAAATGCATTTCTGAAAACCACTTAACACAAAATACAGAATATATCCTATTATAAGCTGCAGACACACACATGCGTGCGTGCGCGCGCACACACACACACACCCACACCCACACACACACACACACACCTCTGCAAGATCAAAGACCAAAAGAGAGCTGGCACTTAATTTATCAGCCTTTACAGACAAAAGACAGTTTTCGTCATTTCAAAAGGATCAGATGTCTTTTATGACAAACTGGGTTTGCAGTTTAATTTACAAATAGAATCCTAAGTAAGCAGTCTGTGCTCTGCCAGAGCAAATGACAAACAGTGTAGGTTTTCATTCTTGCAGCCCTCAGCAGGAGAGAAAAGATTAAAAATAAAACTGAAATAATTTAGAGAAAACAAATAAATGTTTCAGAAAGTTGAGGGAGATCAAAGCCAGAATTTTCTGACCCCAACTGTACAAGCATTTCTTATTATATTGACCAGTGCCATCAGCTCATTAATTAAAAGGAAAAGCGCTGGCAGGTGGCAGGGAAGCAAAAGCCGATAATTGGCCCCCTTCTTCTTCTTGCCTTCAAAAACTCGCTCATTCTTCTGCAAGACATGCCACTAGGCAGACAGAAATGCCTACTTTGTAATATAATGATTAAGATGAGATGAAGAGACTTGCGCTTAAAGAAACTCTGCCTAATGAATGCCTCGAGCTTTTTAATTACGATCCTACTCTTACAATAAGGAATGTGATGCTCCATTCGACATCTCCTCGACTGCCAAAAGGTAAAAATATTAAATTGAGGCTCTACATTGCTTCCTCTACCACCACATGTGCATAGCCAACCCTTTTTATTTCAGATAGAAAAAGTGGGAAAGCAACTCCTGGTGATTCAAGGGTCCAGGAGAAAACATATATACGTATGTTCACCACAAAACACCCTCCACACTTACCACGTCGCTTGGTAGGCTGCTCAAGTCATTAAATGGTGATTCTAAAGTGTTTGTGTCAACATTTAACATAACCACATCCTCCAATGATTTATTTTTCACTCTCTGTTTAAAAAACACAATTATAAACACACATCTTAGTATAGTTTCCTTCCAAAATGATCACGAGCTTAGACATCTAGAGAAAATTAATTTTAATTCATTAGCCTTAGAAAAAAAGGAAAATTCTACACTATGAAAGAATACAAACAATTTTGCCTTACGAGAAAGTCTGTCTACAACCACTCAAAAAGGTAAGAGTAAAAATACTTAAAATAGAATGTTTACTCACTCAAAAATATTTATTTAGTTAGGAGAAACTAAATGTAATATAACTACCAAAGAGATATTACAACAAATACAAAATAGGCACAACTAAACTGTAAATATTTATATTCTTTAAATTTTACCAATTGAACTTCAATCCTATGATACAGGAACTTGTAGCCAGTTCTAGAGCTATTTTTAGCATAAATCATACTTCAGGGCTAACATGAAACAATAAATATGACTAGGTAGTAAATCAAGTTTTAAATTAGTAAATATTTCCTCTATTATCTCCATATCAATTTGGTGTAAGTTGATGATGACTTATAAGTGAAAGATGAATAAGAAAAAATGACAGCAGTAATACAGAATCTGTTGTATTCTTTATCCCATGAAATTAATATAAAGAATCAAATTTAACAGCCTATCAGATCAACTACGTGACTTGTCATATTTGTTTGAAAGCTTAGTCAAACGGCCAAATTATCTCAAAACATGCACAAATGACAGTAAATTAGAATTTATTAAATTTTTATCCTCAAAGAAACATTTATAATTTATTTTTCCTATCTAAATATGTCTACTTAAATCATATAATTCTATTAGTCTTATTTAAATGATAGCAAATGTTATTCCCTAGTGAAAATAAGTAATATATACATTAATGAAATATATCCATCAACCCAGAATTCCGTAATTGCATAGTTCAACTAGCAATCAACCAATTAATCTCAGTGCAATAGTTTTAAAAGTGACCTTCTAGAATAACAGACATTTTTCAATTTAAACACCCTAAATATTAAATTGGCCAGGACAATCTTTTAAGTTAGCCAAGACTGGAATTTCTGTGATCTATTTAGAATTTCAAATCTCTCTGTACTGGGTAGAATGCTAAATTTGCTAGGAAAATGGCAGTCTAGAGTAGAGAATTTTTATGAATTAAGAAAGCCATAACATCTATGTGGAATATAGATTCTCAAGGGGACACATGATTCTGAAACTCTGTCTTGTAAAAGACACTATAATTATTCTAAAGTAAGATTCAGAAGATGGCCATTTCTAAGAAATTAACAGAGAATCACTTATAATAGTGATAATAATGCCAAATATTTATGAATTCATCTCCTTTCCATGTGCACATGTATATGAAAGAGATTTACATATGTAAATATGTGGTTATCTACAAATCAACTACAGCATAACTACAAAAATAACCTATTTTATGAAGAAAAATGTGTACTATTAATGGCATTTAGATGGGAAAAGTATACCTTAAGTTTCATTTCCATCTTCAATTCTAAGTTGCCTTTTTAAACAGAAACAGTAAAGATAATCCAGAAACCTGATACATTTTTCAAGGGATGAAGTGAGTTCATCTAAATAGCCCAGAGAAATGGTTTTATGAACCCAAAATGTTTGTAACATCACTAACATTGTTTAACTCTGAATAAAGGAAATAATTTTAACTCTGAATAAAAGAAATTAGTCTTGGTATGAAATGTATACTTTTTTCCAAAGTTTCTCTTAGATTAAAAAAATCTGATAATAGCTGAACATTAAAATTTGTTATAGGGAACACTCGGTAAGAATGAAAAATGTGTTCATTTCAATAAATCAATACACTTAGCCTCCCTAAAGTGAGAACAATTCTACATAAGCCAGCAAGGGAGTGGAAATAGCATGTAATTTAAATCTGTTTTTAAAAAAATTCAGATTAATGTATTTTCTCTTTTATTTTCCTCCAAACCTAGCTTTAGCTATTTTTTTCTGAAGAAGAACAAAAGGTCAGATGGCCTATGAAATGGCACCTCTTTCTCTGTCCCGTATTTTTCTGTCTCACAAAATTCATGAACTTGTTTCGACGGGGAAAGAGCAAGAAAGTGTGGCGAGAGAATGTGCTTTTTACCCTTCAAAAATAAAAAGATACTCTCAGGACATGGGCTGGAAGTCTTGCTGAGGGCCAGACGAGACGCGGAGCCGCCCAGCCTGCGGGCGCCCCGCACGCCGGCCTCCTCCTGGCGAGGTCGGCGCGCCTGCGCACCGACGCCAGGGAGGGCCGCAGCGCGGCGGCCAGGCGATGCTGTGGAGCTGGCCGAGGCTTGGTCCAGAACTGTGGAGCTGGCCGAGGCTTGGTCCAGAACCGGCAGACGACGGAAGCCCGCACCGGGAACCTCTGCCGACTTACTCCCAGGCACCAACGGGCCTCGGTCTGCCTGGACTTTATCCCTACAGTCTAGTTTTCAGGGGGAACAAAACGCCCTTACCCTTCATTTCAGAAGCAAACACGTTTTAAAAAGAGACTCCTAGATAGCTTTTGCGTATGACCACATAAAAATAATTTTTAAAAGGTTTAGAAAAACATTAAGTTCATATCTTTGAACAATTAGGTTTATTAAAAGTCTTTATAAAACTGATAAAAAGTGTTGAAACCTTCTTGACTGAGAGGGAAGAGGACATTTCAATTCTTCCCCAACAAAAAAATCAGTCGTATTTGCAGCCAAACAAAATGCGAAAAATTATCCGGTCCTATTTCATATGTAAAATGTGTAAATATATTTGTATTTTAATTATAATATCACTTCAGTAAAATTTAAAAAGCACTAAAGATTAGAATTTTAGCTAAAAATAAATCTGCCTAACAATGTCATAATAAGGATGGAATTCTGATACAGGATGTGTATCTCCTGGTAAAAGACTAAGAAGAAAGTTACTAAATGGTACGCAACTGGTTTAGAGACAATCCTGAAGTTCCTGTTATAGTTTCTCATTCACTGTCCAGCCAAATAAACCAAATAAAGCCAAATAAAGATAGTGTAATAAGTTCAGAGTATAAAAGGAGCAGAGACGCCAGCTGATCTAATCGTGGCTTCATGAGGACAGCCATTTGGAAGGTAGGAAGGACTGCTTCTCCAAGACAACACTCTCAGGAGTAAAAAATCCTTAAATTTGCTTCTGTAAAAAGGTGATGATTTTCTCTACAGGTGTCCGATAAACACGTGACAAATTTTATTGAATATTTAAGGCAGGTACTACCTTCTGCAGTATTTTGGAAAAGCTTTTTGTTTTAAAAGTTGATATAGAATCATTATGCAAAATAATGAAAAAGGTACAGTCAACCACTTCAAATATTTTTCATCTGCATAAATAAATGTATTATAAAAACTATGTGTTCTGTTAGGTATGTTAAATAAAGAGATATGTGTACTAACATAAAAATCAAATTTGATGACTTTTTAAAAAAGAATCATACCAGCCAACCGTAGTTAGATTTTTTTCAAGAAATCAAACTACCAATGAATAAAATGCCAGTCATATATTCTACACTCTACTAGCAGATTAAATACCTGCTTATTTATATTTTATCTTATACAATTTGTTTTCACTGCAAGTACTTTGGCCTTTAAGAAGTTTTCTAAAAATAAACAAAATACAGAGTTAGCAAGCTATGCAATCCAGGCTTCAAAATTTAAAAGAAACTAAACCCACTATAATTCATTAAGATGTATTCTTTATTAATGGTTGAAGCATACTCTCTGCACAAAAGATGCTCAGGAATTTTAAAAATAATCCCCAGGATCTTCCTTGATCAGCAAAGTGAGGATTGATACAGTGATAATGACTAATCACTAAACCAAATCTAACTCACTACGTTTGCTTATCAGAAACTGGGTTAAAGTACAATATGGACAACCAGCCAAAGAAGAAATTTGAACAAAACAAATCAGCTGGCATAATGATGCCAGGCAACTAACCCAAGCCTTTTGTTTACTTTTTAGAAACTAATCTCATAAGCTGTCCTCTCTGGAAATCTCACTGATTTCAAGTCTGAGGTGTTTAAAGCTCAAGGTTTTTCATCACAGTGACAACAAATGACAAAAGTCACTCTGAAATAGTTTAAAAAAACCCTACATTTTAAGTCACAACAGGACTGAAAATTAAATTTTTTGAAAAGCTATATTCTATTTTTTTTGTATAGTATATATGTTTTTTTCCATTTATTTTTATTAGTTGGAGGCTAATTACTTTACAACACTGTAGTGGTTTTTGTCATACATTGACATGAATCAGCCATGGAGTTACATGTATTCCCCATCCCGATCCCCCCTCCCACCTCCCTCTCCGCCTGATTCCTCTGTGTCTTCCCAGTGCACTAGGCCCGAGCACTTGTCTCATGCATCCAACCTGGGCTGATGATCTATCTGTTTCACCCTAGATAATATACATGTTTCAATGCTGTTCTCTCGAAACATCCCACCCTCGCCTTCTCCCAGAGAGTCCAAAAGTCTGTTCTGTACATCTGTGTCTCTTTTTCTGTTTTGCATTTAGAAAAGCTGTATTCTAAAAGTTCATGATTAGTGTATTAAAACACATTTTGGTAAAATTTTGATACAGTGGATTATAGTGAAGTTCACAAAATAAAAATTTGCCCTTTATGATTCATAATTACAAAAATTTTTGCTTTTAAAATACAGAAATATATCTTCTGAAAGAGAGACAGATAAAAAAGATCTCAAGCATCATCAAGAAGATGGTTCAAAGACTAAGTTTTCAGTATTTAAAACTTAACACATGTCTGCAACCAAACAGAAACTACTTTTGTGGGTCTGAGGCCACTGAAGGTGGTCACTGTGCATACTGATTAAATACAATTATTTCAATATCACCTTTTGGAAAACGATCACATACGTATACTCTAAATATGCAGCTAGTTCCTTCCTTGTACTATTCAACTGATATTCTCTCAAAACACAACTGTTTTAACTACTACTTCTATGAATTAATTTATCTCATGTCTGAAAGATACTCACCTCTAGGAGGCTGGAGTGTATTCCAATCAGGTACGGCATAGGGGCACTAAATTAAAAATACACAAGTACATGTTCACAGAGTTCATTAAAACTGGAACAATGATGCAGTGATTCAGAATGCTTTAAAAAATACACTTACAAATGGGTGGTTCTAACATAGCACATCACAGACAGTCAAAATTATTCCATACAGAAAACTCAAATTTAATCTGAGGCCACTAATATATTCATATTAAGGTTGATCTATATAAAATCACAGAATTATAATTAAATCAAGAGTTATAATGTTTAAAAAACCTTTTTTTATGTAAGGAGAATATCAGGGTCTCCCATCGTCTAAGATGAATCTTTTCCATATACTTCCTATCAAATATATCTTGAAGAATCATCAAATCTATTCACACTTATTTGTACAATTTTTTATTCAATTAGATTCTTACATGATTTTATTAATATATGTTCATTGTTTCACACATGCTATGTCACCAAAATTCTTGAGTCAGTCAGTCACAGTGTGTTTACTGAGACCTACTTGTGTGCCAGGTACAGTGTGGGAACTGAAGGTGCAAAGGTGAGTCATCTCCTCCTCCACCGTTCCTACCATCCTCTCTATCTTTCCACTCATGTACTGTGCCTTTTACTTAAACTCCATATGCTCTTAAGTAGCCCACTTTCAACTGTCATATAAAATTATATTTAGTAATGACATTAAATGAATATAATTTATTTAACTTATAATGATATTAAAGTCATTTTAATAAACTTTAAACTGCTCTAGTAAGTTTAACAGTGATGTTAATTAATTCAACACAATATCGGGAGCAGACCCAGGTACCACCAGCTGGCATGGGGTGAGGGTACAACAATAAACAGTACAGAGGACACTCCCTCATGGGGCTTGTATTCTAGCAGTGAATACAGACATTAAATGATGTTCATAATACATAAAATCAAGGCTTACTAGTAATTTCAGAAATATTTCTCATGAAATACAGCGAGGAAGTTATTCAACTCGATGTTTCAAAATGAAATTACTATTTAACAAGGAAACATGAAAATGAACAAGTGTCTACAAATGTGATAGAAGATACGCAAGTTAGCAGCTATTTTAAAATAAAACATTTTGGCATTTCTTTTATATACATCTCTGTGTTATATTTAATGCAAACCTTTTCTGTTAATGAAAACAGATAATGTTCTTTTTCCAAGGATCTGCATAATTTTCCAAACATTCCTGTCATTATTAGAACTGAGCTGTCCAAAGTCTGGCATGTCCACTTTGCTACTGAGAACCAGACAAAACTGGCACCTTGGCAGATCCACAGTTTTCAAAGTAAACTCAAACAGTTCCTAATTTGTTCATGGATGGCTTGACACTAACATCCACACGTCCAGAATGCACATAAAGCAAGAATGGTTCAAACTCTCATTTAACTCTTCATTAGCCTGGCGGCGGTGTCCTAGACTTTAATTCCTAGTTGTCCCTGTCTTCTGCAGCTTTGTTCCTTCTCTTTTTTTTTTTAGACGTCTATGCAATGGGCCATCTGGAATTGATCTAATATTCTGGATATTTCATTTGACTGAAAGTCGAGAACTGTTTATAGGCCTTGATATCCTGAAGATCTAACAGATTTTCTGCCTTCAAAAGGAGAGAGAAGGAATACATGTGGACTACTGCACTTTTGTTTAAATAAAAGGCGGCTAGTTGGTTCCCCATTCAAGTTCTCACTCCTGGGATTCCTTCTGGGACTCCACAGAAGATAGAAAACGTGTGCCTCTAACTACTCTGGGCTCCCATGACTGGGTTCAGGCAACTTTCACAAAATTGTACAAATTTATTAAAGTTACTGCATAATTTTCCAATTCGGGTTAGGAAACCTGACCACAAAGTTCATAATACAGGAAGACCATGGAGTCTCAGATCTCAAAGCATATTTTAATATAATAAGTGTTCAACAGACTATTTAAGCCTTCTAAAAATAATAATTATTATGTCTATTTTACTTATGTTGAGGGGCAGGATGCACCAAATTTTAAAATATCAGTGCCCAAAATAATAGCTAACCGACTGAAGTCCTATCAAATATACCTTAGATAACACTTTTAAAACTTCATGAAAGCTAGTAGTTACTTCTCAAAGCAAAAACAGTAAATTTACAGAAATTGTTAAGTCAGAATAAAAATCCAATACAAAATTCTATCCATAAAATAACTGAAACTTTTTTCCGTGGGATCACTGGGTATCTCTACGTGGTTTTATCTCACTAACTTCTGAAAAGTCCAAAATACACACATGTTGGACTGCAAACATTATTAATCTAGAACACACTTTCCTAAAATAATTATGATGTTTTTCAGAAAGCAGATTAAACTGAATAGTTGTGAAAACTGGACTGCCTACATCCTAATATTAAGTCAGCTAAATCTCATGAAAAGTAGTTTTGCTACCCTAGCTGAAATCTTCTAATTAGATTAGGGCATTAACAAGTGAGGGAACGATCCTTGGCAACACAGATGTTTTATCATCTATGCGCAAAACCATCCCAGATTTTTCTGTCAATGGAATTATTTTGCAAAGACAGTATACAGAAGGCTCTATATGACTGCAGCCTCTTTCTGGTAGCAATTAATCTTTACTGAAAAATAAAAAATAATTACTTTGTGGTAGCTTTTTTTCTTTTTAGGTTTTTCTTATGGAGGCCACCCATGGGGTAGACCGTAACAGCAGCAGTCTATTAACCTAGGGTAGTCTAAACAAAATAAGTTTCCATTTAAAAAAAAAACACACAAACCTATTCTCTTAGAAGCTAAAACTGTTATTTTCAAAAAAGAAGAATCAGATAGATAGAGAACATAAAAATGGTGACTCAACCACTCTCGCACAAATGAACATACTGGTACTGGCCTCACAGTGCCTCGGGGGTGTTTCAGGACTCAGAAGGTTAGGCCAGGTGGCAATGTCACTCTAGGCCTCCGACATTAAAGTACTCCTTTTATATTCTGTTCTGTTCATCAGTACCTACCATGCAAATTTCTAGTTCCACAACAGAGTAATTGTTAAGTAAAGGCATGATGTTACACAAATCTCTAAAACTTACTCATGCTGAATAACTGAACTTTATACCCGTTACACAGAAACTCCCTATTTTCCCCTTATACTGGCAGAGGAAGGGAAAACACAGATGGTGTCATTTCCTACCCTAACGGACAGTGGGCACTTCTCCTGGGTGCTCCGATCGGGGTTCTTTTATGTGCCTTGGACATAAACCCTATGGCATCCCGGTATTCCTCTGGGCTCCCCACGTGCACTTGTGCACGAACATGGGAAGTTCTTCCTATCTGGGGACCCCAGGGGACGGAAACTAGTCCTATTCATTATGTTACATGCTCACAGCTTGGCAAATACACATTTACTAAATGTCAGGCCCACAAATGGATGGATTAATGAAGGAATGAGCTGACCAATTAGCAATCCTCCGTAGCCAACCAGGATGCGCTATTCACCCACGGTCACAAGATGGCATCGCGGCCCTCCAAGTCTAGGCCATACCAGAGACACACTTCCAGGGGCCAGGACTGCCTCGGGACTGGGCAAGTCCAGCTACCTTCAAGAGTTGGCAAATATACAGCCAGCCCATCACACCTTCCTGGTGCCATTTTTGGAGTGGGATATAAACATTTCTCTACTCAAAAAATATGAGATGGAAGGGATGATCTCTAAAATTTTTCTCCCTTTTGCACACACATCAGTATGACGCTAGGATCATTGGCAAAGATGCAGAGAGAAGAAAACCATTTTCTTAGTTCAGTCTGTGGAATTTTCTGACAAGGAAAGAGAGCTGGAGTCTTAGACAGCTATTTTGGAAAAAAAAAATGCAGGTTACACTGCCCACTTCCTGTGTTAGAAGTGGAGCCCGTCACGGTGACCCTAAGGTTTAGGGACTCTCAGATAACTTCTTGCTTGATTACCACGGCTCTGCTCTGTGGACCAGGGAAGTGCCGAGCACACAGGCTGTTAGAACTCGTCCTAAAGGGGCTATCTCGGAGGTCAGAAGTGACTAAGATACGAAACAAGCTTCCTTCATTTCAGGGAGAGCAGCCCAAAGAGAAGGACATGTGGGCAGAGTTAGAAAGCATCAGGAGGACGCTCTGGAGAGAGAGAGTGACCATTTCTAAACACAGCATTTCAGGAAGTCTTAAATGTGCCATCATTGCAGCGAACGGAACCTAAAGGGATGTGACCTCCTAAGATTTCAGAACACTTTCTATTGAAAAATTAAAATGGCACTAGTATTATATATGACAAAATGTAATTTTAAGCTTCACAATTAGAAGTGTTAGTTCTTGAACCACTACTTTGGCACAGATTTTTAAAAATCATGTAGCAATGCATCTTCTAATACTTCTATCAAAATCATTGAAAATAAGTTTTAATTGCTGAGTACTACGTGCAAAGATCTACTGCACATGTTGAAGTGAAAGAATCGTGGTTCCTGCCTTCGAGGATGCTGGTCTATTCTAAGTACGCTGGTGAGAGAAGATGACTCTAAATTGAGTACCAAGACAGCTATTTCTAGAGCCAGCTATACTCTCAGACGTGTGTGTGGTGCTTTGTAGTATAGTTAAACCACATACCTACAGTCTCCTGCCAAGCTGTTTCTGCCTCCCAGCACCCAAAGGGCAGGATGGCAGCGGGAAGTCACTGGAAACTTACTTCATGGCATTATCAATACTACTAACATTACCATGCTGGGGAAGCCCACAGTAGGTGGGTTTAATTGATATGTGGCCAAATATATGAACTGTCATTAAAATCATTTGTTCGCAAGACACCTGGTCATAAAAACTTGATAGAAAACTTCATTGTATGAACTTAGGTCATTTCAACCCTTAAATAGGTTGAGTTGATGTGCTTTTCACGAAATCAGAAAGTAAAAAAATTACTTCATTTCTAAAAGAGCTTTTTTTTTTTAAAGTAACATTGATTGTGATAAAAACAAATATATTATGGTCACAATCATTTCCTTTCTGTGTGTGTGTGTGAACGTACACGGTCTGTTGTTGTTTTAGTTACTTAAGTTGTGTCTGACTCTTTCACGACCCCATGGACTATATAGCCCAACAGACTCCTCTGTCCATGGGATTTCCCAGGCAAGAATACTGGAGTGGGTTGCCACTTCCTTCTCCAGGGGATCGTCTCAACCCAGGGATCAAACCTGCGTCTCCTGCTTGGCAGGCAGATTCTTTACCATCTGAGCCACAGGGATGCCACATGCACATGGATGGTTCAGAGTAAAAAACTTCATCTGGCTGCTTAAGAACTGAGCTCTGCCTGCAGAAGATGACTGCCCTAAGTCCCGAGGAAGACCACAAGGCTGCCGTTTGAGGGTCTAATTCCCCATCAGCCTCCAGGGAAGAGGACTGGGCCAGTTCTGGAGGCCCAGCAGAATTCAGACTGTGAGATCACCAGCAGGTGTTTCTGATGCCAAGAAGTGTTTCAGAATGACTCCCACATGTGTCAACACTGCTATTCATGGTGGCTCGGGCGGAGGCTTTGACTTCACCACCAGGAACTCAGGGAAACCCTGCGTTCGAGGCAAGCCCTCTGTGGGTATCTGGTGCCAGGTGTGCTACTGTAGGAAGCGTGTGTGGGAAAGCGTGCTCCGGGGTGGAGGGTGAACATGTGTTCTGACAGAGACAGCCTGGGTTCTCCAGGTCTCTGCAGATAGATTCTGACCCCTGGGACATGGGCTCTCTGACTGATACTACAGCTTCTGCAAAATGTGTCTGACCACAGCTGTTAAGACTGGGTCAGCTTCTATCTGTGCATTTAATTATCTCAGTGATGGCAGAACAAACTCAATCAAATCTAAAGAACTTCATGTTTGCCAAGAACAGATTTTTGCTACCTTTGGAAAGAACCACTCTGCCCTTCATAAAACCACCTTTTAATACTTGCTACTGGTCTCCATGTCAGGTTTGAGAGGTCTCATTCACCACCTTCTAATACTTGCTACTGGTCTCCATCTCGGGTCTGAGAGGTCTCATTCACGTACATACACCTAGGTAAGCACTCCGGGCTTGCTTACACTGCAGAGGAAGCGGCGTCTCCCAGCCCGAGCGCCGGGCCCGCGGCCGGCACGGCCGACTTACCAGCAGTAGTCCAACAGGTGTGGCGGGAGCACCGGGATGTAGATGTGCTGCCAGTACATCGGGTAGAGCAGGGCGGCCGAGCCGTGGAGACAGGCGGTTAGCTAGACAGTGTGAGAGGAGAACAACAGTGAGTGGCCGCGGACCCTCCACTCGGGGAGACATGCTCAAGTCGTCAAAGGTGGGTGATGCTCGTAAAGCCACGCATGATCTTGAATCGTATTACCTTGATCAATTCTGCTTGTTTAAAAAAAAAAAGTCTCATGTTTCAGAAGCCGTCCTGAAAAATGCGTAAGAAGCAAAGTAGCTTCCAGGGCATCTTACATGGACGGTTATAGCTCCGTAACATAGACTGTTTGGGGTCAAAACTAAGGTCCTAAGTGAACCTGAAACACCAGGCCAGCGTCTTTGGAGGAGCTGTGGGAAACTGCGGCGTGTGCTGCCCGTGCCGGGCTCGCTCGCATGGATGCGCCCTGATGCGGTGTTGCGGGGAGGCGAGGCTGGGGGCTCCGCGGGGATATCATTAGGGCAAATTGCCAAAGAATGAAACGTGAGCCAGGCGGGGGAGCCTGGAAGCTGCGGCAGCGCCGGGGGACCCGGCGTTCGACAGTTGGAGCCGCCGAGACGTGTGAACCGCGGGTGATGGTATCAGGAGACGCTGCTCGCTGACACGGAGAATGTCACCATTGACCAGCGCGCTGCCCGAGCTTGACAGCTGTACCACAGGCAGCCAAGGACATCATAATTTCATATTTAAACTGCTCCTTTCAGATTAACATCGTGCTTCCTAGCTTTATACCACAACAGCTGCAAATACACTGATGCTATTTTAAAGGTAATTGCCATTTTAATTGTTTTGTTTTGGCAAGCAGTTAATTAAATATTTTTTAATGCTTAACAAAGGGATATTGCTTTTTTTTCTCCCCCTCCCTCCTACTGACCCTCATCAGAATTCTTTCCCTGTGACTTCGTTTACATTTTAAATTATATTTCTCTAAGTCTTGAGACCTTTTTTTTTTAAGCATTTAAAGCAATATTTAAATCAGCATTGTTCCTCATTTTAAAGTTTTGCTACCGTCTGCATTTTCAAGATGATGAATAAAAGTTTCCATTCAACTTGAAAAATGGAATTAAAAAATTAAACCATCTGAAAATGTACCACAAAATTTCTATATGCCATTATTTCTATTTTATCATACAAAGAAATTAAAGTTCATATGGTAATCAAATTGAAGGGATAAATGTAAACAAAACAATTCAATCTTAGTAGCAACATTTGTCTATATTTAAGTTATATTAAATAGTTCCACTAAATTTTTTAAAAGTCAGTTACAATAATCTAATCTGAACCAAAAAATGAAAATCTTGATTAAACATATAGTCATCTTCATCATATGTATTATATTTTTTCTGGTTAAGATTTTGAATTAATTTTTATATAGCACAAAATGTGTTTGTTCCATTTGGAATGCTATCATCACAGGATTTTAGTACTTTGCATTTATAAGTTTTAATATTTTAAAATATTCCTTCTGTAAGTATTATTTTTAAAATTTCTTAATTAGCCCATACAGTATACCACTAGGAGGCATTCAGATGCTTCTCTTTAACAATTTCAGACTACACTGACTCTCTTATATAGCCGAACCAGAGGGAAATGAAAATGGGGTTGATCTCAGTGGTGTCAATTCTTAGCTTCCTTGTGCTCCCAGGCTGTGAATGAGGCAACTTTAAAAGCTTCAGTGTCACCTGATGGGCTAAAAGCACTCACGGAGCTGTGAAAGGCACTTAATTTACTCGATTTCTACATCTGCAGAGAGATGGCTTTTTAAAAACAGCTCATTGAAAACTGTTTTTAAAAGGAAACTATTCTTTTTCATTGTTGAGAAAATAATTAACTGTGTAAAAGGAGGGAAAATGCATTCTCAAAACGAGGAATTATAACAACATTAAGCTATTTTACTGGGTACACCAGAGTCCAAAGCACCGTATTAAATACTACAGACTTTCCCCCTACGCCCTTGATGGTCATCCCTAGGGGAAGTCATGAATTGCTCACTAATAAGACACAGTTTCACCTGATGAATCTGACTGGTTTCTTAGAGGACGATTTCTGCAACAAGAAGCAAAGTCACAAACTTTCTGCAAAGGCCAACATTTGGTAGAGGGTCACATCAGCTAATTGAGACCCTCCAGGAAAGAAGGAAGCTCTGCAGGATTCAGCAACCTCCCAGATGCAAGGGATCGGCCACAGGGAGAGGTAAAAATACTTCCCCCCACCAATCCACAGGTTCTGGCCTAAGCAACCAGGATGAATTATTTAAAGAAATGCAACAAACATGTCAGGTTTAGGTGGAACTTTAAGGAATTCACTCTTGCAAATACTGATTCTGTTAACTCAGAGACATCGAAGGGGAGATTTCCAAAGACGGCAGAAATACATCAGATCGTCCATGCCCACCCAGCACCACGTAACAACTCTGTGACTTAAGAAAACAGAATATACAATCATAGCATATGCTTGTGGATGAGACAGTAAGCTGGAAGTAAAAAAAGAAAAACAAAAGAAATAAATTTACTAGGAAATTAAGAAGTTATATTGTACAAGATAATAACAATGTTGTACAAGGTAATAACAATGAAGTACCTCAGAGTCAGGGCACTGACGCTGAGAGGTTGTGTAACTGGCGCACCCACAACACAGATACACACACACACACACAACACAGACACACACACACAACACAGACACACACAGACACACACACACAACACAGATACACACACAACACAGATACACACACACACAACACAGATACACACACACAACACAGATACACACACACAACACACACACAAACACACACACACAACACAGACACACACACACAACACAGACACACAGACACACACACAACACAGATACACACACACTACAGATACACACACACACACAACACAGATACACACACACAACACAGATACACACACACAACACAGATACACACACACACAACACAGACACACACACACAAAACACAGATACACACACACAACACACGCAGACACACAACACAGACACACACACAAAACAGATACACACACACCCAACACACACACACAACAGATACAACACACACAACACACACACGCAACACAGATACACACACACAACAGACACACACACACAACAGATACACACACACAACACAGACACACAACACAGATACACACACACACAACACAGACACACACACAAAACAGATACACACACACACAACACACAACAGATACACACACACACACAAAACACAGATACACACAACACACAAAACACAGATACACACACACACAACAGACACACACACACAACACAGACACACACAACACAGACACACACACACAACACACACACACACAACAGACACACACACACAACACAGACACACAACAGATACACACACACACAAAACACAGATACACACACAACACAGACACACAACAGATACACACACAACACAGACACACACACACACAAAACACAGATACACACAACACACAAAACACAGATACACACACACAACACAGACACACACACACAACACAGACACACACACACACAACACAGACACACACACACAACACAGATACACACACACACACACAACCGCAAATAGACCCAGACCCCAGTTTCCTCATCTTTAAGAAACACATGCTATATGATCTGTAAACATGGTCTCAGAGAGATCTAACTTCTTTATTCTTAGATCAGATCAATTCTAACACTTTATATTTTTAGTAATGGTTAAGAATTGTTTTTTCCATACAGATGGTTAACAGAACCCTTTACCTAGACAATTCAGACCCACCTTCAAAATCTATCTAAAGATAATCTCTGAAAAATTTAACACACAGTAGGTAACTGTGAAATTGGAAACATTATAATAACTTAGTCACTTAATTCAACAAAGTTTTTGAGTACCTGCCATGTGCCATCATAAATTTCTACTAAGCAATTGAAACAGACTATTTTCTTGGGCTCCAAAATCAGTGCAGACAGTGACTGCAGCCATGAAATTAAAAGATTCTTGCTCCTTGGAAGAAAAGCTGCGACAAACCTAGACAGCATATTAAAAAGTAGAGACATCACTTTGCCAACAAAGGTCCATCTAGTCAAAGCTATGGTTTTTCCAGCAGTCATATATGGATGTAAGAATTGGGCCATAAAGAAGGCTGAGCACTGAAGAAATGATGTCTTCAAACTGTGATGCTGGAGAAGACTCTTTGAGAGTCCCTTGGACTGCAAGAAGATCAAACCAGTCAATCCTAAAGGAAATCAACCCTGAAAATTCACTGGAAGGACTAATGCTGAAGCTGAAGCTCCAATACTCTGGCCACCTGATACCAAGAGCCGCCTCACTGGAAAAGACCCTGATGCTGGGAAAGACTGAACGCGGGAGGAGAAGGGGACGACAGAGGATGAGATGGTTGGATGGCATCACGGACTCAGTGGACATGAGTCTGAGCAAGCTCTGGGAGCTGGTGAAGGACAGGGAGGCCTGGCGTGCTGCGGTCCGTGGGGTCGCAAAGAGTCAGACACAACCTAATGACTCAACGACAACAACAAAAGGACAGGGATGCAGAACAAGCCTCTGTGTCCACGAAGCTTACGTATCAGTGTGGAGAGCAAACAGCAAACAAGTAAAACATCTATTTACGTTTAAGTGAGAGGTGAATTCTGTGAAGAAGCCTAAAGCAGGCTAAGAGGGGAGAGAGTGACAGGAGGTGGGGGACAAACTCTGGTGCGGCCACAGGTGCACTGGGACCCGACTGAACGACGGGAGCCGAGGGGTGCACGCGGGGAGAGGGGCATCCAGGAGTCCTGGGGGGGCAGGCTCGGCACCTTCACCGAGCAGCGGGGGGCTCAGCTGGTTGGATCAAACAGCGGAGCAGCAGGGGATAAGGTCAGGGAGGAAGCAGGTTGGAGCTGAGGAGACTCCCGGGACCCAGTGAAGACGCCAGGTTTCATTCTAGATGAGATCTGCCTGCACCTCTGAACACAGTGCTGACTGTCACAACAAATCAATTCCCTAGAACGTTTCCA